TGGCTGTGCCTCAGCTGATCTCCCACAGATGTCTGCAAGTGCCCTTTGCCAAGGGGACTCTGCCAGCCCCGCCAGCTCCTTATGCCTCGTCTCCCCTCGCCAAGCCTTTTGTGCTCCTTCGCTGCCTCACTGTGCTCACAGGCACCCCAGTTTCCCAGCTTCTGCCCATATCGTTAATGCGCCACTTACCCCCTCTCCCTGGCCACCCACCAACTCGATCAAAATAAAGTCAGAGCAAAACTCAAACAGATGGCAGCTGCTCTATTCATCCCATTCTTTTCCATTTCTTTTATCAACGCACTGAATTAACACAAGTCACACAATCGCACTTTTCTCTCGGCGCAGTTTTGCCCCCACTATCACAGCCAACGTAGTTCAAGTCCCATCAAGCCTTCTGATGGCATCGGACAGAAAATCCTTCAACTGGGCTCAAAGAGGAGGCACCTCCGGATAATTCAAGCGGCAAGAGATAAAAAAGGAAACTTGTTTCACATAAATGAGATGAAGTACAAGGTGCCTTACAGATACACAGGCCGCTGAGCTACAACCCTGAGCGTATGACACTGCAGAAGCTGCACACAAATGAGCAGCTAGTACCGAGAGGTGATCGGCTGATGACATGACAAGTTTAGCCCTGACTCATCTAGGGAGAGGTTTTCACTTTAGTAGCAGATCAGACCTGCACGTTACACAGTCAGCACAGCTTGATTTAACAAAAGGACACCAACCAGGGACCACAGGCCTGGTACGCGGCGCTGCTGAGCCTAACCACTGAAGACAAGACTGCCTTTGCCTCAGAGAAAACACCACCATCTGCTCCGGCTTCTTCTCCATCAGCATGGCCTCAGGAGCACGGAGGGTGGGACGGGGCAGCACCACACAGGCAGCGAAGGCAGCTGCCCTTCTGAGGGCATTTTTCAGTACTCACTGCGCATTAGATGTCAAGGCTGGACTCGGGTCTGGAAGAGGAACTGACTGAGATTTTGTGGAGAAGCACAGACGGTTTGGACACAGATTTGCTAGAAGGAGGAAAGATGCCAAATAACAAAGATCTCAATTACAATGTGATGAGCATAGAATAGCCTTCATGTCTCTGAAACAATCACATCAACAGGATAAAAGGGGCTTTGATGCATACTGGCAGCTATGGGAAATTGATGCAGACAAATTTACGCAATCCACTGAACCGACACTGAACCGAGTGAAGAAATCTGAACTGAAACACTCGGAGATACATGAAGGATTTGAGATAACTCCATTTAGAGCATAGCAGCAAGTTAAGCAAAACCTGGACTATTCAGGAGTATTACATGGAAAAATGAAGAACACCCACCACCTCCTCCTGTTCCTTCA